CAAGGTATGTTATGATTTAGTTATATAATGGTATGCCTCAATCTGCATCTACACTCTCTTGTATCTCCCACACTTCCTCTCCATAGCTTTATTGCTGACTAAATCATCTTCATGCCCTCCAGCCAGCAAACCACAAGTTGGATAGCACAAACAATGCGTTTTGCAAATCTTTGAGGTGCTGCTCATCTATTTGTTGAATCCCTCATCATCTAGTGTGGGTTAATTTCCTCCCTCACTCAATTGGCACCATTTGTGGGAAACGATGGACTACAACGACAAAAATCTGCAATTCTAAACATCAAAACAAGCCCATTCTGCACATGATTCCAAGGGGTAGGGGTGAGATGATCTTGTAAAGCTACTGTGATTGTTCTTTTCAAAAGCACAGCACACATGATCTTCTATCAAGCCAAGGCAATCATACACAATACATAAGTCACATGACCTTAGAAGAAAAGGTCGACAATACTCACTGTATGCAAGAACACATGGGTCATCTCTCATGAATAACAAAGAAGTTCTCCCTCACTCTTCTCTCTCATATTGAATTCTATTATTTTACTAGATGAGAAACATTTTATTGGACTTCATGTCTATATGTGCTCGGCAAGGCCATGAATATATTTGTAAATTGGCCCCCAATTGGAATTCTCTACCATTTCTCTGAAGGGATGATTCAAACACAGAAATTGTCATGCACAGCATTATCGAGCAGAGAGAGACCCAGCCTTACCTATCAGCAGGCATACGCATCGAGGAAGTTGCCACACCACGGAACCTGAGTCATGCAACCAAAATGAGCGTTGGTTGGCCATGACCAATCTAGTAACGGTACATAGCTCTGTCTTATATGTCCCAGCAATGACAATTATGATGGGAACTAGACACACTGCTACGCCATACACATTTTCACTTCTTAGTCATACAATTGCATGGCAATGCACTCCTCCTGCTGGGCACAGTCACATTAAGGTAAAGCACTCAGCAGCGACAGCTTGGTATATAGATGGTTTTTGTTACATTAGGTTAATTTTAAACAATGAGAAGAGAAGCAGAGCAGACCATCCAGAGGTTTAACAAAATCCAAAAGAGGGTTAAAAAAACAAAAGCTTGGTATATAGATGGTTTTTTTTATCATTGAAAAAACAGAAAATGTTCAGCTGGAAAACTATTCCTGTGGCTGTGTTATGGTTTATTTGGAAACAGAGGTATGGCAGCATCTTTAATGGCACACAACCAGATCTGGTGGAGCTGTGTGAGTTCATCAAACTCAGGGCTGCTGCTATGAATTAGCTCACTCAAACAGTGGTTCTTCATGAGGATCCCAGTTATGATGTTGTGGCCTGCTGCTGTATAGAGTTAGAAATTTGCCTATTGCTGTTCTGTTGCCTGCTGCTGGATTGTTTTGGGGGACTGCAGCAGAGGGGTTTCTTGCTGAATTGTGTTGGTTCAGTACAAAATTTCCTGATGTGGATATTTTAATAGTGCAAGGGGTGATTGTTGCCATTGCTTGATCCTTAGGAATGTGTTTTGTTGTGGATTTGGGTTTTTGCAGTCCTTGGGAGGACTTGTTTAGAGATTGGTTTTTTTCTTGCCCAGGAGTAGATAAATTTTGCACCTAAGGTTTATGAAGTGATTTTCATTATTTAAATGTGTTCTTTCATTTATGAAGTGATGTTATGTTTCATTAAATTTTGCACCTCGCTGTAATTAAATATCACTGTAACTACATATTTTTAGCCTTCACATTACATAATTGCAAGTTTCTTATTTGGTTTGCATTGATTATAGGATACATTTGAAATAGGGGATAATTATGAGGACAATGCACTATCCCAGCAAGTTGTGCAAAAGAAGTGTAACGTGTTACATAAAGATTGGAAGTGCAGAATGAAGAAGAAATGGGAGAAGCTTGTGGATGCGGGAACTAATCCCTATGCTCATCCATACAAAGGAATCAGATTAGATGATTGGAAGTATTTGATTGACGAAGTATGGTTAGATCCTGCAAACAAGGTATGTTATGATTTAGTTATATAATAATAATGTATTAATAACAAGCTCTGTGAAATCATATAGAATGAAGGATCAAATTATCTACCTATAAAAAATAAGTGTTTGACCACCTTCACAAGGCTTCTTAGTACTGTTATCATTGTTTAACTATATATGTCACAAACACCAACAATGTGGATTTTTGTATGTAACCATGACCCAAAAAAAATGACTTAGTACTTTAACTATATATGTAATAACCCGTACAATGTGGATTTTTGTAGCGTCGCTACGACGCCGGCAAAAAAAATAGGAGCAAGCTACCCTACAATCACACAAGTGGGTCGCGATCTTTTCCGGCAGCAATGAGTATTGCGGTGAGATGTATTTCATTGATTTTATTACCTTTATCCACACTTGTTTGACGAATTAACCATATTACTGAAGGAGTGTTCTAAGTGGTGTTTGGCAAGTAACAGGTGAAGGAAAATGGTGGAGTGTTGCCAGATCTCTGTAATTTCTACAAGCACACTCATCAGCACAAGAGGACAAAACAGTGGATTGATCCTATATGCGGTGATTTACATGCAAGTATTCCAATCATTTGGACACTTATACATGCAACTTTTGTGTTTGTCTTATACTAACAATATTTATATTTTACAATTATAGGAGCAAATGACAAGGGTGCGGGATGAGTCTATCGAGGCTGGAACGCCGATGAGGCAAGAGGATATATCAAGAGTGGTTCTTGGTAAGAAGAAGGGATACTTAAGAGGATTTGGGGTTGGACCAAAGCCTTCTTCTTGTGATTCTGGGTTCTCGGCTGCATCACAAGCACGTGACGAGCAATTGAAAAGGCTTACATCCGAGTTGGAGATACTGCGTGCGAAGCAGCAGAGCAACCGTGAGGAGCAACAAAAAAAAGAAGAGGAGCAACAAATGAAAGAGGCAGAGAATACAAGACAACGTGAGGACATGCAGCAGCAGCTTTTTGGACTTCAGAACATGTTGGCACAAGTTTTGGAAAATCGCAATCCACCAAATTCTCGACAATAGATGGCTTAGTGGTAATTGGTAAGTGTGTTAAACCATATTTGATTATATTTATGTTCAAATTACAAGCAAATAAACGTTTGATGAGAATATCATACATAAATAGTTGTCTTTAAACTAATTTTAGTTCTAAATTTGAAAGATGGAATTTACAGAATAGTTTATGTTGACTAGAAAAGAAACTTTAATGCATTGTAATGTTCCACTGATCGAAGGATGAATAGTTAAACCAGAATTTGTGAATGTTCCATGGAAACCAAAATGTGAGAAAAAAGGAAAAAACGAGCCGGTTAGGGCAATATTGTTGGAAACAGCCTGGAAACAACCAGAGATCGTAGCGGTCACCTCGGCCTAGATCAAACAAACTTGTGAAAGCAAGCAACGGTTCGATAGGACGCATGATTGGTTATGTACGACATAAACGTGTGACAAAGTAGGCAAAACCGGGGCGTTTGGGGTCCGAAACTGCTCTGAATTGGCTCCTCTCTATTTATTCTTTTTCCTTCTTTTCTCTTCCTTTGATGGTCATCATGGTGAAGTATTGCATCAATAAAATCTGTCAGTTGGCTGCTGTCTTCATCAGCAGCAGATTGGTGCATTGTGCTATGTTGCTGTGTAACACTGTGGCAGCAGTGTGGGTCTGCTCCTCTCTATTTCTTCTTTTTTATTCTTTCTTTTCCTTTAGTGGTCTGCATGATCTGTCTGGCTTCATAAAGATCATCCTGATCTGTCTGGATGGGCAGCAGATGGATCTGTCTGGCTTCAGTGTGTGCTCCAGCTCTGTCTGGCTTTTTCCTGAGCTGTCAATCATCCTGATCTGTCTGGATGCTTGTTTTTGGAGCAAACTGGTGGTCTATATTCTGAAATTATATATTTTGACAATTTTTGTTCGAAGAAATGTCGAATTGCACATGCTTTGAAATTACAATGTTTAAGAAATGGCAAAAGTGCACATACCTCCATACTATTTAAGTTACTATCAATTTTCCCCCTACCATCACATTTGAAAGGGAAAAAGTTAAAAAAAATTACATTTTGGCCCCAAATTTCAAAAGAAAGATACAGACCCACCATTCCCTACTAGCAAACCACCACCACCAGCTACCACTTCAAGCCGTTCTATCTCCTTCGTTATTATAGCAATTCTGGTTTTGACCTGACCTTTGTTATATTTCGGACTCGGGTTCCGTGGTTGTATGTTGTGTCCATGTCTTGTTTTCCTCCTATAATTCTTTGAATTTGAACTTTGGAATATGTTGGGCGTATTTGGGACATGTTGGTTGTTAGTAGGGAATGGTGGGTCTCATTTGGGACCACTTTCTTTCTTTCTTTCTTTCTTTCTTCTTCTTCTTGATTTTTAAATATTGCCTAATTTCTAAATTTCTAATGCTACACATTAGCAACTCTCCCAAAAATACATTACAAATCATATATCATGGATTGTGGGCCTTATTCAAGATAATATAGGACTGAGAACACCATGAATTTTGTTGTATGCAAATTGTAGTGTTTGTATTTATTTTGATGGAATATAATCTTCAAGTAGTGATGTTAAATGGCATCGTTACAGAAGAAAGAATACAAATTAAACGTCAACTATAGTTTGTATTTAGATTAATCATCGATGTATTCAAATTTATTAGAGAGCTGCTATAAATTATTTTTTGTTTGCTTGCAAGTTTTTATATCACTGATCAATACATGCATGATAAATATAATATAATATATTAGTGTTTGCTTTTTCTAATACTTATCTCTAAATAAAAATGATTAGAAATAAAACTACTCAATGGTCACAAACTTAACTTTTTTCCAAGTATAAAAAGTTCCGTTTCAAAAGTAGACTACCAAATAGCCCTTTGAGGAGTGAATTAGTTGGGTTAGTCAATAGAATTATATTCTGGGTAGTCAAGTGCCACACCCCTTATCCAATCTTCCGGCATTGGCATCTCCCTTTGCATCTGCTCCGATATTGCCGTGTAATGAAACCTGTTCATCATCCATTCATTCATTATTTATCAATCTAGAAATATAGGTTGCCAAAATAGGAGTTTAATTTAATTCACATGAAAGGTTCAATGAGGAAGATAGGAGTTATTGACAATATGGATCAATTTCAGTTGCCGTGTTTGGTTTCTGCTGTGTGGCACTATATTGGATCTGGAATGGTGGCTGATCCAATTTATTCCATACACATAAGAATGCTATTGTTTTATTTACAATTTGATAATGATAGTCATTGAATTTGCTAATGTGACCTTTGCTTTCATGGACATAATTTGTTATTTGTCCAATTTTACCTGACATTATTTCTCTTATTTTATGGTACAGATGGATGAACTCGTGCACAAAGCTAAATTGTACAGGACAAATAGGCACTTTTTGGATTTTTGGAAGGATTATATATTTTTGTATAGATGTATATGGAAAATATTAGGGTAGACTAGTAGTTATATTTTTGGATACACTACTAGTTATATTTTTGGATGGGTGTGTATAGAAAATATTTGGTAGACTACTAGTTATATTTTTGGGTTGATGTACATGGATAAAAATTTAAAACATAATAACAAGTACTTGTTATGTGTTAAATTTTTATGCTAGATGAAATATGTAGTTTCGAATTATTTGTGGATGTAAACTTATAATAGTTGCTGACTTTAATTAAACAGGTTCAGAAATGGTTGATATATATATGTATTTTGTTGAATGTTGATGATTCAATTTATTTGTTGGTTTGAAAGATTTCTTCTTTTTACAGATTATATTGAATAAATTGGATGAGTTATTATAAATTACAGGTTTATTTTGTTGGATATTGGCGACCAAAATTTGGTTTTGTTTTTATAGTTTTGGCGACCAATTGATTTGTCGCGAAATGTCACAATTGGCGACAAAAAAAAATTTTTGTCGCAGAATGTCACAATTGGCGACCATAATTTTTGGTCGCGAAATGTCACAATTGGCGACCAAACAAATTTTGGTTGCAGAATGTCACAATTGGCGACCAATTCCATTAGTCGCGAAATGTCACAATTGGCGACCAAACAAATTTTCGTCGCAAAATGTCACAATTGGCGACCAATTTTTTTGGTCGCGAAAATGTCACGATTGGCGACCAAAAAAATATTGGTCGCAGAATGTTACAATTTGCGACCAAATTTTTTGGTCGCGAAATGTTACAATTGGCGACCAAACAAATATTGGTCGCGGAATGTCACGATTGGCGACCAAAATTTTTGGTCGCGGAATATCACGATTGGCGACCAAACTTTTTGGTCACGAAATGTCACAATTGGCGACCAAACTTTTTGGTCGCGGAATGTCATGATTGGCGACCAAAATTTTTGGTCGCGGAATGGCACAATTGGCGACCAAACTTTTTGGTCGGGAAAACATCACTTTTCGCGACCAAAGTGTTTTAGCGACTAAATGAATTAGTCGCGGTAATGATATATTTCGCGACCAAAAATTTAGTTGGCAAATCTGACTTTTGCCGACCAACCAAAATTTTGGTCGCGAATTACTTTTGCCGACCCTCAATTGGCGACCAAAGTAGCGACCAAAAAATTTGGTCGCGGATAACTTTTGCCGACCAAAAATAGACTTTTAGCGACCAATTTTTTTGTTGCCAAAAGTGTTAATTCTTGTAGTGAGTGCAAGATTAGGCACAGCCTAAGAGTGTGTTTGAGATCCGCAGTTTTCTGGGATTAGCTGGGTATTACCGTCGATTTGTGAAAGATTTCTCCAGGCTAGCTTCGCCGTTGACTAGATTGACGCGGAAAGGGATCAAGTTTGTGTGGAGTGAGACTTGCGAAAAGTCGTTCCAAGAGTTGAAGGATAGATTGACCACCGCTCCAGTTTTGATTATTCCGGAGAGAGGGTTGGGTTATGCGGTCTATTGCGATACCTCACGAGAGGGCTTGGGTTGTGTGTTGATGCAAGAGGGGAAAGTGGTAGCTTATGGCTCACGTCATTGAAAATACACGAGAAGAATTACCCTACACACGACTTAGAGTTAGCAGCAGTGATCTTTGCCTTGAAGATTTGGAGGCACTACCTTTATGGTGAGAGGTTCGACGTGTTCTCGGACCACAAGAGTTTGAAGTATCTGTTTACACAGAGAGACTTAAATTTGAGGCAGAGAAGGTAGATGGAGTTCATTGAGGACTATGATTTTGAGTTGCACTATCACCCGGGAAAGGCCAATGTTGTGGCCGATGCCCTTAGTAGGAAATCCATTAGCGATGTAGCTTGTATAGCCATTCGGGAATGGGAGATGTTGGGTACGCTTGGAGAGTTTGATTTGCTTCTAGGCGAATCTGTTGAGGCTGCGGCCTTGTTTTCTATTGTTGCGCAGCCTACGCTTGTCACACGAGTGTTAGAGGCACAGAGAGGTGACCTTGAGGTAGTGTCCCTCCGAGAGAAGATCTCCAGTGGGACGGTTGAGAAGGGTTTGACGGTGTATCCCGACCTGAGTGTGAGATACTGAGGCCGTTTGTTTGTGCCGGAGTCTTACCGAGAGGAAGTACTCCGAAAGTTCTATCTTCACGCCTTACGGTGCATCCGGGAGGCACTAAAATGTATCGGGATTTGGGTCGCCAGTTTTGGTGGCGGGGTATGAAGAGTGATGTGGTTGTTTTCGTATCGAAGTGTCTTACTTGCCAGCAAGTGAAGGCCGAGCATCAGAGGCCAACGGGTTTGTTGCAACCCTTGTCTATTACCGAGTGGAAGTGGGAGCATGTCACTATGGACTTCGTTGTAGGTCTTCCGAGGACTCAGCGGGGTAGTGATGCCATTTGGGTGGTTGTAGACCGATTAACTAAGTCGGCGCATTTCATTCCTATACGCGTGAGAGATTCGGTAGATCATCTTGCCGACGTGTGATGAGACCCAGATTGCATTGCCGAGGGTGGTTTGTGAGTATTCGGATGTCTTTCCCGAAGATCTTGTTAGTTTGCCACCTCACCGAGAGATAGAG